TGAAAGCAATTCCATTAAGATCTGGAACAAGACAAGGATGTCCACTCTCACCACTGCTTTTCAATATAATACTGGAAGTCCTAGCCAGAGCAATAAGACAAGAGAAAGACATCCAAGGAATCCAAATAGGAAAAGAAGAAGTCAAACTATCACTATTTGCAGATGATATGATAATATACATAGAGAACCCCAAAATCTCCACAGAAAAACTAATTCAACTCATCAATCAATTCAGTAAAGTGGCAGGATACAAAATCAACACGCAAATGTCAGTAGCCTTCCTATACACAAACAATAAATCTGAAGAAGAAGAAATCAAAAAAACACCCCTTTTATTATCGAAACAAAAAAATCAAATATTTGGGAATAAATCTAACAAAAGAGGTAAAGGACCTATACAAAGAAAACTATAAAACACTGTTAAAAGAAATAGAAGAAGACACAAAGAAATGGAAAGACATCCCCTGCTCATGGATTGGAAGAATAAACATTATTAAAATGGCCATCCTACCAAAAGCAATATACAGATTCAATGCTATTCCAATCAAAATCTCAATGGCATTCTTCAAAGAAATAGAACAATTATTGATGAAATTCATATGGAATCACCAAAAACCCCGAATAGCCAAAGCTCTACTGAAAAAAAAAGAAGGAAATGGAGGCATCACACTCCCAGACTTCAAACTATACTACAAAGCCATAATCATCAAAACTGCATGGTATTGGAACAAGAACAGACATACAGACCAATGGAATCGAATAGAAAATCCAGAAATAAACCCACAGATTTATGGTCAACTAATCTTTGACAAAGGAGCAAAGACTATGCATTGGAGCAAAGAAAGTTTGTTCAATAAATGGTGCTGGGAAAACTGGGTCGCTACATGCAAAAGAATGAAGCTTGACCACTACCTCACACCATACACAAAAATCAACTCAAAATGGATTAAAGAACTAGACATAAGACCTGAAACCATAAAATACATAGAAGGAAATATAGGCGAAACACTACGGGATTTGCACATCAAAGACATCTTTACAGACACATCACCCAAAGCAGTGATAGTGAAGGCAAAGATAAACAGCTGGGACTACATCAAATTAAAGAGCTTCTGCACAGCAAAAGAGACAATAACAAAAACAAAGAGAAACCCCACCAACTGGGAGAACATTTTTGCACCCAACACTAATGATAAAGGACTGATCACAAAAATCTGCAAAGAGCTGATGAGACTCAGCAACAACAAAGAAAATAATCCAGTCAAAAAATGGGCAGAAGAGCTAAAAAGAAACTTCTCTGAAGAGGAAATGCAAATGGCCAACAGACATATGAAAAAATGTTCAACATCACTTGTCATCAGGGAAATGCAAATCAAAACTACCATGAGATACCATCTCACACCAGTGAGAATGGCACATATTAAAAAAACTAGCAACAACAAATGTTGGCGAGGATGTGGAGAAAAAGGAACTCTTGTGCACTGTTGGTGGGAGTGCAAACTGGTCCAACCACTATGGAGAGCTGTGTGGAGATTTCTGGACCTACTAAACATAGAGCTTCCATATGATCCAGCAATTCCACTCCTAGGTATTTACCCAAAGGACACAGAAACATCAATTCCAAAGAGCACCTGCACTCCTATGTTTATAGCAGCACTGTTTACAATAGCTAAGCTTTGGAAACAACCCAAATGCCCAAAAATAGATGACTGGATCAAGAAGATGTGGTACATATATACCATGGAATATTACTCAGCATTCAAAAAAGATAAACACATGCAATTTGCAGCAACATGGATGGCACTGGAAGGGATCATGCTCAGCGAAATAAGCCAAAAAGAAAAAGAAAAATACCGGATGGTCTCACTCATAGCAGGAATCTAGAAAACTTAAATAAGGGACCAGGAAAATGAATATAAGAAAGTGAAAATCAAAATCAACAAAAAACTATGAACCAGAGACACTTTTTGGGGGGTGGGGGGGGGGAGGGGAAGGATTGGGGTCAGAATGGGGCGTTTGCAATTGTATGGGGGAATATAAAAATAAAATTTAATATTTAAAAAAAAAAAAAAAAGAAATAACCAGAATGGATTTTATTTCATTAAAGCAGAAAGCAGAAGTTTGGAGGTTTATCAACTCATTTAACTTGGCCTAAGTCAGATGTCTAGGGGAGAAAGGAGTGGTTCAATGAATAAATAAAGCAAAAATTCCAAGTATCAGAGAGCTTTGAAGAGAGCAAGCCAAGCCTGAAATGGGACTTGTCTACATATAATAAACCACAGGATCTGAAAAGATGAATTCTAAATTATGTAAGATAAAACTCAAGTGAAACTAAGGAAAAAGGGTGCCCTTGGTCATTAAACTGGATAGAAAGCTCACAAAGGTTTTGCATGTGGATTGATAGGACCTGATTTTTTAGTTCTGTGCTTCTATGAAACTTGAAATAAAATTTTTGGTATTCTACTGCTATTTATCAAAATCGTAAAAAACAAATCCACAGATTAAGAAAGAAATGAAGGGGATCTGGAAGGTCTGAACACGATCCTTTGGCAGTTTTGTGAGAGGCAAGACCAAAGTGACTAAAAGACAACCCTAGTGTGCCTGGAGATAAATGTCATCCTTGAGATGGAAATAGGTTGCAATGGGTAAGAGAGAAGTCCAAGGATGACATTAAAAGCACTGTAATCAAGGTCTCCCCTGGTGGAGCAGCGGTTGAGCGCTGGGCTGCAAAGCTGCCCGCAGCCTCTGCAGCAGCCTCTGCAGCAGCCTCTGCAGCAGCCTCCGCAGAAGCCTCTGCAGAGCTGGTTTGATCCCCGTCCCACATGGCGCGTCAGATCTCTCCTGCCATACCCACTGCTCCCCTCAGCACTTTATTTCATCAGTCTGCCTGTTCTGTTCCCTGCTCTGGCTCTGGTGAATTCTCTCACCCTCCTGTGCTTCTGACTGTACCCAGTGTTTGTATAAATAAATAAATAAATCTTAAAAAAAAAAAAAGCACTGTAATCAAAGGCACTAGCTCTTCAAGGTTTCAGTATAGTTACATGGGTGATTGGATATGGTACAAGTGAAAACTACCTGGATAGCTGGTTGGCTATCATAGAACCAGAAACTTTTTCCACTGGAACTCTTTATTTGGTAATCCTTTCTAGGATTTGGGAACTTAATAATTTTTTGTCTTTATAAAAATTATCTTATGCTAAAAAAAATTTGGAATTTGTAATATTTGCATTCGATGTGGACCAGGTATGAAGGAGGTCAGGAGGTTAATAAGGAGGAAAAGCTACCTATTCAACATAGGCAGAGAGAAGTCATTTTTTAAGGTTCTCTTCTTACAGCAAACTGACAAGATAGATATGCACCACAGAAATAAAACATTTTAATTATACCTACATAAAGCATTCCTAATTATTGCCAACAGGAGCTGAGTTTCTATGCAGTGTAATTCTCTGAGCTATTCCTAATCATTAAATAGAGATAAGAGTTGAGCCCTTCACAAACCATAAACAAGTCATTTTCAAACTATTCAAAACACATACCAAACCCTCAGGGAATCAGGATTAAGTTTGAAATTTCATATTTAATAAATTTCTGCATTATTTAAAAGGCCTATTAGTTTGTTTTTAAATAATGCTATGTCTACCCAAACACAGAGGAGTGAATAATTAAAGCAATTGTCTGGACTTTCAAGCCAAAACCACTTTTTGCTTAATTACCTATTTCAGGCAAAACTTTCTTTTTATTGTGGAGTAGGAGGCATGGGAGAAAAAGTTAAGATACCAACTGAACCACAGTACTAGCCTTGCTGCTAAAATGAAATGGAGGGAAAAAAAATATTATAATATAATCCAAGCCAGACTTCTGCCCTTTTTGGGACAGATTTAGAACTATAGTGTTAGAAACAATTATTTTTAGACAGCATTATAAAAATGTAATTTTATGATTTTAGAATTATGCTGTGTTTATGTAACAGTAAAATATACACTGTAAGTCCTCAATGTCAGTAAGACTACATTTTCAAGCCCCTCTTTTGAAAAAAAATGAAGAAACATTTGCCTAGAGAAGTGATATAAAACCTCAAGTCATATCACTTGTTAGGACAAAAGCTGGAACTAGAACTGGTTTCTCTGACTTTAGTTTGTGTTGAATACACTGCATGTCTCTTTATTCAGCTGATTCTGGTTATCTCTTGGTTACCAGAACATAAAACAATATCCCCTTGGAGAATGTGTGTGTATGTGTGTGCACATGCACCAATTTTTGTACACCTGGTAATATGTGTATATGAATATTTGTGTCCATTGGATTCATAAGCATGAATGTATGCATTAGATGGTGGTTTGTAACATTTCAGGATCCTGGGAGGAAACAAATGGTACTCAAGATGTAGGGAATTCACAAGAGAAAATCAAGTTACGTGAGCTATGGGTTAAAGGGGGGTTTCCAGAATTCAGAGAGAGTTTAATAGAGAAAGGTGTCTGGCCGGATCAATGAGGACTGCACCCCAGCCTCTGACAGAGTCACCAGCTGGCCAAACCCAACCAGAAACCATGTGTCCAAGAAACCAGAGGACACAGCTCACATAGTTTCTTCCTCGGGAGCAGAGATCAGGGAAAGGAGGGTAGAGTAGGCCTTGAGGGGCAAATGAAACATTCGGGGCGGGGGGGGAGAGGGGGGTCGGGGGGGTGGTGGTGCTATTGTGTGTGTGTGCGTGTGTGCATGTGTGCGTGTGCATGTGCGTGCGTGTGCGTGTGTGTGTGTGTGTATCTGTCTGCTTCAGGGAGGGAGTGTGATAGGGAATGTGGTAAAGACAACATTGCCCTTTGTGTGTGAGTTGAGAGAAAACAGGAAACTACCGGTGAAATTGAAGTTGTTGAGCAGTTTATCTTGTCTCACAGTTAATTAGGGCTGTTTAGGAACCACTTTGAGCTCCCCTTAGATGCCATGCAAGGAATCAGTTGGGGAGCCTCTATTACTGCACACAAAAGAAGGAACAATCTTACCACTCCGAGTAATGATGGGACCCGCAGACAGGACTGCGTTTCCAGATGTGCTCTGGGGGCTCCACGTTGTCCTCCTCCCGACATCTCTCCTTTCTCTGTTGCCACAAATCTGAGGTGTTAATGAAAACAAATGAAATTCCACACCAGCATAAAACCATTTCTTTATGGCCATTTAGAAAGCAGATTCTTTTGCAAGAGATACCACATGTTTAATTTTATTCATTTACTTCTGTGCATTTATTTAATTACTTTGCATATAACTGCAACAGTGTTCCGTTATCTTGGTTTGGGCCACATTTCTTATTTCCTCTCGTATTTGTGCATTGCCTCATTAATTTACATAACTCCACTGGCTTTCCTGAAAAAGAGCTGTGTTTATCAAACTTTTTCACTTTTATTTCTCTCAAGCCTTTAATAAATGTTTCCCTGAAATGTTAGTCAGCACAGAGCCAAGGGAACGTGGACTCTCCATTTAGCTCCACCGGATATAGCTAGTTGGGTTTAGTCATCAGTGATGGTGAAGAAATGCAAGAATGTGAGCATAAATCTAAACATATTAAAGCTATTTCAAATTTTAAAAATGTCTGCATTTCTCTCAGCTTATCATCGATGTGACCCCAGGCAATCTGCCAAAACAGATTTTTTTAATTCAGTGTTAAATGGATCTATATTTTAATTATGACTGTCTGAATTTGAATCCACACCTTTTATAGCTTCTAACTTTTAATGCAAGAGATTCCTGGGTTATCTGGTCCCAATCCACCTTCCTAATAACATCTCTCCCTCCTCCCCAGGCTCTCCAACATCTCTACTCTCTTCCACAGCCTCACGGAAGGACAGATTACTCTATTCTGTCTGTGACTTTGAGCACCCTTTGACATCAAGTGTCTCTCACTCACATGTTGGTTTTGTCCCTTTGGGATTCACCCATTTTCAAAGTCACAACCAAGATTCATCTCTTCCACCAATCCTCCCAACCTCTGCTACCCCATCTCTCTCACAGTGATGAATATTACCTCCTGCTACAATCTACATACATAACTGCCTTTGCACCGTAACATTTTTGTCTTGTTTACTTCTATGACTATCTCACAATCCTAAGGACTGAATTGAATTCAGAATTTATGCAGAGTTCATCTCTGTATTCCCAGTTTGCCTGGCACAAGGCAGGCATTCAACAGATTTTTACTGGACAAATGAATAAATGCTGTGCTAAACGCTTTGACCTGATGCACATCCTCTTTCTATGTAGAAATCAGCTCCTAAACTTGATAATCTTCCAGCTTAGATCAGTTCAACAATTAAAAATAAAGTTGCTAAAAACTTACTGGCATAAGGAAGGGGCAGTCATCAGCTCTGCAGAGCTTGGTAACACAGTGTAGGAAGACCGTGGACATTTTCTGATTCTTGTGCTTCACAAATCGGAACACTTCAAAGGAGAATCGGCCGTGCTGGCTTTTGCCATTTTCAATGACGGTCGTCTGAGGATCTTTGTCACAGCTACATTGCAGTGAACATGAAAACTGGATATTACTGAAAAGTACCATCCCAGTGGGACTTGTAAATTAATTTCTACATATTACACCATTACATTAAGAGCTAACAAAATCATGCCATGTTATAGACATTTAGTAAGAATATAAGTTAACTCAACAGATACAGTGAGTGACCTAGAACATAAAAGTTAAACAGATTAGTTTCTGATTAAAATATTACTGTCTAATTTTAGAGGGATTATTGTTTCATATAGTTCAAAAATCCAAACTGTATAAAAACACGTATAATGAAAACTCTCCCTCCCATCTTTGTCTTTGCCCATACTATTCCATATCTGCACAGGTGCATTCTACTTAACGAGGTGATCTCTCTTGATATTGCTTGCTTCCAAGGCATATGCAAGTAGAAGCAGAAACAATATATTCATATAATTCTCCCCTTCTTAAACAAATGATAGAACACAATCTACATTGTTTTGTAGCATGCCTTTTTAAAATTCAACAATGCATCTTAGAGATTTTTTCCTATGGATATTTAGAGGGCCTTGTCATTTTTTCACAGTTATATAGTATTCTGCTATGTACGTGTGCCAGTATTAATTTAACCAGTTCCTTATTTGCATATACTTTCATTGTTTTGACTATTTTGAATAAGTAATAATTTTGAATATTCAACTTAAATCAGTATTTTCAATATGTAATAATCATAGCCTTACATATATCATTTTGAACATGAGCAGGATTACCTTTATGATATGTCTATAGATAATTCAATAGATTTTGCTATACTGTTTTCTATAAATATTGTTACATTTTGTACCCCGGTAATATATGACAAAAACCTATTTACCCCAGGATTATATCAATAAAATGTATGGGTAAAATTTTGGACTATTCCTTATTTGACAGGAAAATAAACTATCACCATGTAATTTTAATTTGGCTTTTTCTTGGTGAGAATGAATATGTGCATTTTTTCACTTACATAGGAGTCACTGTATTTCTTTATCTGAACTTTTTTGTCATTTGCTCGATTTTTACTGTTTTCTAGTTCTTTTTCTTCTTTGATTCCTATAACTACTTTATATATTAGGAAGAGTGACTCCTTACATAATTTACAACTTGCAATTAGTTTTACTTTGCTGTTTGGCTTTGGAAATCTCTAGGGTGTGTGTGTCTGTATGGGTATGAGTGTAGTTTTATTTTTACTAGGATAAATTTTCAGTATTTATTTTATGACTTCTAATATTTGAACTAAAGACAAATTTTCCTTTCTTCAAAGTGATAAAGGTATTTTGCATGTTTTCTCCCACCACTTTTAAAGCTGTAGTTTTACATTGAAATCAATGATCTATTTAAAGATTATTTTTTTTAAAGATTTATTTATTTATGCATACAAGACTGGGGTACAGGCCAGAGGTGTGGGGGTGAGAGGATTCACCAGGAACAGAGTGGGGAACAGAACAGGCAGATTGACTGAAATACACCACTGAGGGGAGCAGTGGGCAAATCAGGAGAGGACTGCTGCACCATGTGGGTTTCTCCCTGGCCGGAGATTGAATTCCTGCTGCAGTAGCTGCGGACAGCTTCATAGGTTGCATCTTAACCCTTTGCGCTACTAGGGAGGCCCCCTATTTAAAGATTATTATGATGTACTGAATGAAGTAGAGATCCAGTGTTTTATTTTTTTAATGATTATCCATTGTCAAGTACTATTTTTAATAACCTCTGTTTATTCCACTGATTTATGGCATCTATTGTATTATGTAGTAAATCTCCACTTGTGTTGGATATATTTCTCAACTTATATTCTAAATTTTTTTGTGTTTAATCTTAAAAAATATCACATTCCTTTACCAATTTTAGAACTTTAAATAATTATAATATTTGCTAGGGCCATGTTCTTCTTTTTTTTGTATTTTGTGGATTTCTCATCTCTTTTTCTTAATTAGATTAACATGTTATTGTCTATTTGTTTTTGTTTCTTTTTAAAGAACTTACTTTTTCTCTATTGGTCTACATTTCCTTTTTCTTACCTGAGTGTTATTTAAGAGTTTTAAATTTCCAAGTGGTGATTTGTTTCTGTTATTGTTATAAATAGCTATCAATATATAGTTCATATATTTTGAAATTTCTAGACTTTCTTTTCCTCTTAATTTCACTGAAATAAATATTTGGCTTAGTTATCCATTTAACTCTATAGTGTTTAAATAAGAAAACTGAAAAGGTTCAGAACTAAACTCTCACTACAGTCATACTAGAAAGGGCTGATCACTGTATTCCAGTTATCAAAGAATTATATCATTATAGAATATTTGGAAAATAAGAAAAAAATTAAGGCAAATAATCCACAAGTTTACAATGTGCCATGTACCATTGCATTTTATGTATTCCCTTAATCTTTTCTACCATTTATTATATAAATTAGTTTCTATACATATAATTGTTTTTTTTTTCAGTTCATATTTTAATACATTTAAATTTTAAAGAACCATATTTTCCAAGGATAAAATACCAAGAAGATATAAAGGGAAGAGACACTATGAAACAAGCCATTCCCCCCACCTATTTTTTTAAGTAACTGTATAAGACTAAAATGCCTATGTGAATTTTCAACTTACTGGTTCTACATAATTCACCTAACCATTTCACATTACACTCAGTTTATTCCAATATTTTACTATTTTAAGTATCACTGATAAACCAGGAAGTTAAACATATTTTAGGATATGTTTCTCAATTTATATATACTTACATATGTAAAATCAAAGAATATAAAATCTTCCAAAGTTTTGATACATACTGATGTTTTTTTCCCAAAAATGATGTCTAAATTACTACTTCCCGCAATAGGATATGAGAGTGTCAGTTTAACCATAGCCTCCGGACATCACCTTAACCTTGGTTAGCAAATAAGACATATTCTTTTGGTTTCCCGTCATATTACTCCCATCATGTGTCAATAAACAGCAGTGATCTGAGCCAACTGCATTTATAATCATGATTAGAAACCATTGCTTATACTCTCAAGTCTGTATTGCTGTCAGATAAAATGCTGAAAGGGAACTGGACGATTCAAAGTTTTTTGATCAATGTTCCCTTTCCCCAAATGTAGACTACATTCAGTCTATCACTGTCTATTGGTAAATAAAGTTGAAGTTATTGGCTCTGATAAAAAAGGAGGGGTAGGCTATATTATACTTTCATATTAAATACTTATAAATGAAAAAAAAATCCTGAGTATCTAAATTATCCAGACAATCACTTAAATTTTAACTCTCCTTTTGACATATGATTCCTTCTAGTTTCAGATAAATAGTACTCACCATTGCTTTTTTTTTACTATTGGCAATAATATTGTAGCCATGCTTTTCCTAAGACAGTGAAATATTCTCATATGTCCTAAACATGAATAAAACATCTTTGTTGGACCTAACTTGCTTGCCACTCTCATTCAGCAACAATCTTATTCAGCATTTCATGTTGAAATCTGTTCTTGACTTGTATATACTTTCAGTTTTACAAGGACTAAAAGTTCAAACATAAAACTTTAAATTTAAAAGCTATCAAAGTTTATCTCAATAATTTTTTCATCTCAATAAATTTTCCATCTCTTGTATTTTCAACTGAGACTTTGCTATCAACATGAGATAGTACACCTACCTAAGGAAGAGATCATACCGGATATCATCATTTGGGTTCCCTGACGGGGTCGTGTAGCAATAATCCATTAAAACATTCCATCTGCAAAGAATAGTAAGCATAACTACATTTAGGTTTTTGCTACTAATTCCACAGAAATAAATTTTGACGAACTTCTTACCCTATAGAATAGGGTGTTTTTTTTTTCCTTTAGTTATTTGCAGAGGCTTCTTATTTATTAAAATATTTTCCTACTGAAGGTGTTTAAAACTCTGCAACAAATTGCCATCTCACATCAAGTGGGGTTAAAGGTAATACCCTACACATCAAAAAAGTATATACAATACACCTGAAGGGCACAAGTCTGAAGAAACAAAACCCAAAAATGAACTAGATATTTCCATGTTTATTGACACAATGTCTTTTGTTTCTAAAAGTTGTTCACTCTAATAGATGACAGAGGATATTATAAAGCCACATACAACAAAGAAGTTTGGTACATAAACTATATTGTAAATTATGTCATAATCAGTGAAAGTGGGAATGGAATTCCACAATAGATTCTGTGTTAGGTAGGAGAAAGTCATGAGGACAATACACAACCTTCCTCTACATGACCACATTCCAACTCTGTTATCATAAAAATTACTAGTCCATGAGAAATGAATACCAAGATGAAAAAAAAAAGTTTCATTTGTAAGATAATTTTAAAAAATCAAATATATCCCAAAATAGGAATACCAAGAAGACACAAAGGTAGAAGGTAAGGTAGAACCAAATTTCTAGAGTATAGTAACCTCTTCAGAACACAGAGTTTAAATAATAATTCATGAGAAACCCAAATACTCTATTTACACATTATAATTTTTATAAGACAGGATTGAATTTTCAGTTTTTGCTTTTTTTTTTTTTTTGTTTGTTTGTTTTTTAAATGAGTTTTCTTTTTAGGGCCTCCCCGGTGGCGCAGCGGTTGAGCGCTGGGTTGCGAAGCTGCCCGCGCCCGAGACGCCGGTTCGATCCCCGGCTGCTCCCCAGCCACCAGAGGAGGGTCCCACATGGTGCGCAGACCTCTCCTGCCGCCCGCTGCTCCCCTCAGCAGTGTGCTTCGCTCCTTCTGCCTGCTCTGCTCCCCACTCTGGCTCTGGTGAATTCTCTCACCCTCCCGTGCTTCTGACTGTACCCAGTGCATGTATAAGTAAAACAAACAAACAAATAAATAAATAAATAAAGCATGCCTCTATAAAAAAAAAAAAAAAATGAGGTTTTTTTTTTTTTTTTTTAAAGATTTATTTATTTATTTATACCAGCACTGGATACAGTCAGAAGCGCGGGAGGGTGAGAAAATTCACCAGAGCCAGAACGGGGAACAGAACAGGCAGACAGACAGAGGACACTGCTGAGGGGAGCAGGGGGGCGCGGCAGGAGAGGTCTGCGCGCCATGTGGGACCCTCACCAGGGATCGAACTGCCGCTGCAGAGGCTGTGGGCAGCTTAGCCCAGTGTTCAACTGGGGAGGCCCTGAATTTTCAGTTTTTGAATCCCCTTTCAATATTGATCATTTAGAATTTCTGAAGTATCATATAACTGAAATGATTTGAGTTTTTTGCAGAGATTTTTATGGGGATAGTTACATATAATTTTGGCTCAGATACTGATGGAGAGATTATATTGTTTCTTTAATAAATTTTTATTGAATAATAATACCATGTACAAAAGTGCACAAATCATAAGTGTTCATAAAATGACTGCATCTGATCAATCATCTTAAAACCAGAAGATCTCTTTATGTTTCCTTCAGTCACTACTCCTCCTTGTTGAGAGGAGAAAACCTGTTATTTTGCAATTAATGACATAAAATGAGTATCACTTCTTAATCTTATTTGTTATTTCCATCAACATGTTTTTTTAAAGACATTTATTTATGCATACAAGAGCTGGGGTATAGGCCAGAGATACAGGAGATAAGAGGACCCACCAGAGACAGAGTGGGGAAAAGAACAGGCAGACTGACTGAAATACACTGCTGAGGGGAGCAGCGGGCCAGTCAGGAGAGGTTTGCTTCGCCATGTGGGTTGCTCCCTGGCCGGCTGGAGATCCAACTCGTGCTACAGAGACTATGAAATGCTTCATAGTGCGGTGCTTAAGCCCTTGTGCCACCAGGGAGGCCCAACATTTTTTTTTAAAAAAAGATGTACTTATTTATGCATACAAGAACTGTGGTACAGGCCAGAGGGGGGTGTGTGTGGGTGGGGAGGGGTGTTAGAGGATTCACCAGAGACAGAGTGGGAACAGAACAGGTGGATTGACTGAAAGACACTTCTGAGGGGAGCAGCAGGCAAGTCAGGAGAGGTCTGCTGCACCATGTGGGTCACATTACTGGCCTGGGGTCAAACTCATGCTGCAGTGGCTGTGAATAGCTTCATAGGTTATGCCTTAACCCCTTGCACCACCAGGGAGGCCCTATCAACATGTTTAAATGGTGTGGCAATGACAGTACTCTTTAAACAAAAAATGAGTAAAATATCTTTATAATTCATGAGGCTTTAGGCAACCAAATGATTTAACCATCAAAAGATAAGAGTTTGAAAATACCTGCCATCCAGGTTAGTGGCTTGTACAGCTGCATACACTTTGGTTTTCAAAGGTAATCCTATACTTGGGATAATTAACTGTTGACTGTAGGTTGAATCCTAATGATGGAAAAAAAAAAAATGGTCCATCATTACCTTCCTCACACAGTACATTTACCACATAAAACAATAATGACAGAGACAAAGGAAGGGTGAATAGTATAAATATACAGAGCCAACTCCAAATATACCTAATGTTCTAATTTCTTAACAAAATTGCACTTAAACCATGTAAATGGCTTGCATGTCCATAGAAGTTCATTTTCACACATAAATCTTTTTGTTTCCACAGTTTGCCACATATGGTGATTAATGCTCAGTTTATTTAAATTGTCTAAGGATTGATAGTCAGTGGTTAATACTTAGTTTGTTTAATTTTCAATTACTAATAATTAGCTTACTTAAGTTAATATTCATTTATTTAACTTATATTAGTGACTAATAGTATTTACTTAAATTGCATGTTTCATGTATATATATTTTTATAACCCTTTGCCACTGGAGTTGTGTTTACAGAATTTCTCTGTTATCCAAACACTTATATAACAGCTTGAAATTGCCAACATTTAATAGAAAACAAAAAGAGACAATATGTTCCCAAAATTGCTAAAATGCATGTAATAGATATCCTGCACCAAATTTCTTGAGGATTGCATATAGAAGGATGTCTCATGATTTCATTTCTACCTATCTGTGTAAATCAATTTTAAAGAGTTTGTTTTATTCCCCAATCTACAGTAGTTTCCCCCAACCTTAGTAACTTTGAAGGTACTGCTATTTTGCAGCAAAAATAAGATTTAATGATCATTATGAATCTCAACATTCATCAAGCAAAGGCAAAATACAGAACATACTCTAACAAAGCTGGGAAGACAGCAACAGATTATGAATTTTTAAAATTTAAAACAATATAGTTTGGACTTTCACTTTTGAAAAAGGTGATTCATATGAAACATTCAATCAAAAATAATAAAAGACAAATGAGAAGTTATGGGCTATACTTATTTTCTATATTTCTGTGATAAATGATAACAGCTCCTCTAGCCATTCCTTATAGGTAATGTTTTTATGTAATTATCTTTCTGGTTCCCTTCTCCAACTTCCCCAAATTAAGCAACATTCATTAAATACGCAACTCTTGTATCTTACTTTTGAATCAGTATTGTCCAGAACAATGCTTATCATTTTGCAACTTACACTGCTAAGTCATAGAAAACTGAATTATGGCTTGGAGCATCATTCTTTCCTCCTACAATTGCTTCTAAAAGTTATTTTTTTACTTTATCTTTTATCATTGTCTCTACTCTTGCTAGAACAATTTTGTCCCCCAAATAAATTATATTTATTTTAGATTTTTCCTCCAACTTTTAAAAACTATTCATAATTACCGTAAGCTTATTTCAGATTTACTGATTTTTGTATTGTTCTGAAGATACTAGTATTTAGTTACAACTCAAATTCACAAATTCATATGCCCTTTCCATGCCTATAGAGCAGAAAACTGACATATTCATAGTACATAAAAGTAGGTCAAAGTTCAACTTGAAATAACTGAAATACATACAAGTCATGTCGACAACAAAATTCATTAATTTTTATAATTAAATTTTTCCTGAGTTCATTTACTGAATCTTAGAACACATAGAAATACAAATTGTTTGGAATTCAAACTAGGTAAAATTTTTCTCTCCAAATAACAAACCAGGAAATAATAGTAGTGGGGATGTTATGTAACTTTTAATCAATCTTATCATTATAAAAAATTCTGCATGGTAAATAGGATAGCATAGCCCCTAGTGGTATAAATCAGTATTTAATTTGAAATGCTACATTAAAACTACATTTGGATAAATATTAGCATTGTGAACAAATAATTATTATCAAATTAGAATCAATTTGAAAGATTGTGTCTAGTTAGCAACAAGACTATGACATGATTTCTAATGACAATACAAACACCTAAATAGCATAGCTTTCCTCAAATTCATATTTCTAAACTTTTGGTTTTCTGCTTTTCCAGTACTTTCCAATTTCACAGAAAATAATGGTATCATTAACTGCCATGTGGATATATTTTTCACTTACTTAGGATCAGGAATTCTCATCTTTGTTTCACTCAATTATAACAAATAGTATAGAATCCAAACCTCAAGTCTATCTCAGGGAGCTGACACAAATAAATCAACACATAGAAACTTTCCAATTTAAAACTACCACTTACAAGAATAATAAATATCTTGCCATATATGGAATGAATATTGACACACATTTGCTGAGATTGTAGAACCAAGTAACTTGGCAGTTTCTCCTTGCAGAAGAAAGTTTAGAAATGACAGAAAGGCAATCTTCATTCCAACACATTTTAATTTGTTGTTTAGAACTCCATGGTGTCAGACTACAAACTTATAAACATGATTTTTTTTAAATGTCTTTGGAAAATGTCCTACTACAATATTTATAGCTCATTATATTCAAAGTATAAAGCACTGACTTTTAAATCAGTTGCATGAATTATAACTCAGTGCCATGATGACATGAATAATAATGTAAAAATCAGATTCATAATTTACAAAAATGTTGGTTGATAGATTGAAAAATTGATATTTAAATCAGGCATTTAAAATGTATGAATAAAAATTTTTAATCAACATGAAAACATCATTTGGGGGATTAATGTTAGAGTTATAAATAGAAATCCATGTATTTTTCACGTTTTGCTGCCACTGTTGATATTTACATGACAAAAATTTAGACAATGCTATGTAGTTAACCCAAATTATTTCAGATTTTACAGAACTGTCATTAGTAAAAACTCATATTGAAAATATTAACACATTCATTACCAAGCATCTCCTCAAGAAAAGTGTCACTTAGGAAAAGTATCACTTTTCCTAACTTTGTTTCACAAAAACATTATTTCCAAAATCTTGACCCTAGCTAAGGCTACACATACACGTTATATAGGTAGATGATAGATAGATAGATAGATAGATAGATAGATAGATAGATAGATAGATAGACTCTCTTGGAGGAACTATGTAGAATCCCACTTATGATATAAAAGTTAAATCGTTCATCAACTTTAAGAAAATAATTGTGGTTTTAGAATACCTTTATTTCTAAGATATATGAAAATGGTAGCAAAGATGGATACATGTAATCAAAGTAAAACAGGGCTGACACGGCTTTTGGTAGATTTTTATATAAAAGTCATTCACATAAATGGCTCCTCAAAACAGTGGGAGAGAAAATAACATCCTTCACCCGTCAACTTACGTTATAAAGGAGCAGGTTCAAAGTGCTGACAAATGTACCATTGTTCTCTCTCACAGAAATAGCAGCTGAGGATCTAAAACAGATTTAGAAAAAAAGAAAGCATTGATGAGATTTTAAATTAAAAGTTTCAGCTATTCCTTAATGTTAGATTTAAATCACTAAAATTTTGAGTAAGCCTGACACACTTTTAACTAGGCCTTGAGTGGGAATACTGCTCAAATCCCTGAACAGATAATCAAAAAGCAAGAGAACCAAGTAAAGACAAGCTGACGTTATGATCTTTTTTTATTTATAAAGGCATCTTTTTCTCCATTTTCCATTTCACGTATGAGACTTTTGGCAGAAAAACTTTATTTCATAAGAATTTAAATCTAATGCAAATATATTTTCATCAATTGGATTAGAACAAAAGTTTCACAAGATCAGAGATTTTGTTTGACTTTATTCAAAGCTAATGCAGTGCATAGTATATAGAAGGTGCCTAATAAATATTTATTGAATAAATGAATAAACTCCCGTGGACATGAAATTCAGAAATGTGCTTAGTGGGGAAGTGCGAGGGGCAGAGAAAGATGTTGGACACCCTAATGTCCTGCTCCCCTCTACACCTATCCCTTGAGACCCAAGGGCTTTTATTTCTTATTTTCCATATAGAAATATTACTTTTGACCAAGGTGTTAATCACTATTGTACCATTAAACCAGTTAGCAGATATTTTCTCATACAGCAAAGTGTGGTTTCCGCATTCCTTTGTGACCTACGTTAAACAATAACTAGACCTTTGTGATAGCAGATCCTAGAGCTGAAGAGGAAAAGGTCTCTCTCAATGGTTCCATTGTCTGAAATATTTGACAAATCCAGATCATTCTGTTATAATATAAATGTGAACCTGTCTTGAAGTATAAGCTTTAGGTACATGACTATAAAATAAATACCTTTGACCTCAGTCCATTTGGGGATCTCTTGGCTCTGGATGATGTCACCTTTCTTTAAGAATCATCAGTATTGGATTTACAAATGAATTCTACCAAACATTCAGAGACGAATTAGTGCCTATCCTTCACAAACTCTTCCAAAAAATTGAGAAGGAAGGGACAATACCAAACACGTTCTATGAAGCCAATATTACACCTAATACCAAAAACCGAATAAGGACAACACAAAAAAGGAAAACTATAGGCCAATCTCCCTAATGAACACTGATGCAAAAATCCTCAATAAAATTTTAGCTATCAGAATCCAACAATGATCCATAAAGAGATAATTCACCACGACCAAGTTGGATTCATTCCAGGGGCACAAGGATGGTTTAACATCCGAAAATCAATCAACGTTATCCAACACATCAACAAAAAGAAATAGAAAAACCATATGATAATATCAATAGATGCTGAGAAAGCTTTCGACAAAGTGCAACACCCATTCATGATAAAAGCCCTTGAAATTCTTGGGATACAAGGAACATACCTCAACATCATAAAGGCCATCTATGACAAGCCAACAGCCAGTATCATTCTCAATGGTGAAAAGCTGAAAGCAATTCCATTAAGATCTGGAACAAGACAAGGATGTCCACTCTCACCACTGCTTTTCAATATAATACTGGAAGTCCTAGCCAGAGCAATAAGACAAGAGAAAGACATCCAAGGAATCCAAATAGAAAAGAAGAAGTCAAACTATCACTATTTGCAGATGATATGATAATATACATAGAGAACCCCAAAATCTCCACAGAAAAACTAATTCAACTCATCAATCAATTCAGTAAAGTGGCAGGATACAAAATCAACACGCAAATGTCAGTAGCCTTCCTATACACAAACAATAAATCTGAAGAAGAAGAAATCAAAAAAAACCACCCCTTTATTATCGAAACAAAAAAAATCAAATATTTGGGAATAAATCTAACAAAAGAGGTAAAGGACCTATACAAAGAAAACTATAAAACACTGTTAAGAAATAGAAGAAGACACAAAGAAATGGAAAGACATCCCCTGCTCATGGATTGGAAGAATAAACATTATTAAAATGGCCATCCTACCAAAAGCAATATACAGATTCAATGCTATTCCAATCAAAATCTCAATGGCATTCTTCAAAGAAATAGAACAATTATTGATGAAATTCATATGGAATCACCAAAAACCCCGAATAGCCAAAGCTCTACTGAAAAAAAAAGAAGGAAATGGAGGCATCACACTCCCAGACTTCAAACTATACTACAAAGCCATAATCATCAAAACTGCATGGTATTGAACAAGAACAGACATACAGACCAATGGAATCGAATAGAAAATCCAGAAATAAACCCACAGATTTATGGTCAACTAATCTTTGACAAAGAGCAAAGACTATGCATTGGAGCAAAGAAAGTTTGTTCAATAAATGGTGCTGGGAAAACTGGGTCGCTACATGCAAAAGAATGAAGCTTGACCACTACCTCACACCATACACAAAAATCAACTCAAAATGGATTAAAGAACTAGACATAAGACCTGAAACCATAAAATACATAGAAGGAAATATAGGCGAAACACTACGGATTTGCACATCAAAGACATCTTTACAGACACATCACCCAAAGCAGTGATAGTGAAGGCAAAGATAAACAGCTGGGACTACATCAAATTAAAGAGCTTCTGCACAGCAAAAGAGACAATAACAAAAACAAAGAGAAACCCCACCAACTGGGAGAACATTTTTGCACCCAACACTAATGATAAAGGACTGATCACAAAAATCTGCAAAGAGCTGATGAGACTCAGCAACAACAAAGAAAATAATCCAGTCAAAAAATGGGCAGAAGAGCTAAAAAGAAACTTCTCTGAAGAGGAAATGCAAATGGCCAACAGACATATGAAAAAATGTTCAACATCACTTGTCATCAGGGAAATGCAAATCAAAACTACCATGAGATACCATCTCACACCAGTGAGAATGGCACATATTTAAAAAAACTAGCAACAACAAATGTTGGCGAGGATGTGGAGAAAAAGGAACTCTTGTGCACTGTTGGTGGGAGTGCAAACTGGTCCAACCACTATGGAGAGCTGTGTGGAGATTTCTGGACCTACTAAACATAGAGCTTCCATATGATCCAGCAATTCCACTCCTAGGTATTTACCCAAAGGACACAGAAACATCAATTCCAAAGAGCACCTGCACTCTATGTTTATAGCAGCACTGTTTACAATAGCTAAGCTTTGGAAACAGCCCAAATGCCCAAAATAGATGACTGGATCAAGAAGATGGTACATATATACCATGGAAATTACTCAGCATTCAAAAAAAGATAAACACATGCAATTTGCAGCAACATGGATGGCACTGGAAGGGATCATGCTCAGCGAAATAAGCCAAAAAGAAAAGAAAAATACCGGATGGTCTCACTCATAGCAGGAATCTAGAAACTTAAATAAGGACCAGGAAAATGAATATAAGAAAGTGAAAATCAAAATCAACAAAAAACTATGAACCAGAGACACTTTTTGGGGGGGTGGGGGCGGGAGGGAAGGATTGGGGTCAGAATGGCGTTTGCAATTGTATGGGGAATATAAAAAATTAAAATTTAATATTTAAAATAAAAAAAAAAAAAAAAAAAAAAAAGATTAAATGGTGAAAACATGTAACGCATTCAGAACAGTTACCAGCCCATTGGAAGTTTCATAAGGCTAGCTAATAACATAATAACTATTACAATTATCTATAATAATAATCAACAAGCAGAGCCAGCCATCTATTACCTAGATCTATACCTACATCTATATCTACTCAAAAAAAAAAAAAAAAAAAAAAAGAATCATCAGTATCTGTGCAGGTGAAACCACAGCGGGAGGCATGGAGACCCCAGATTCTGTGGTAGTTGAGTCCAACAGTGAGCGCATATGACAGAGACTGAAACCAAGCAGGACCCAACAATGTAAAGGCCAAGTGTTCTATTTACTGGCAACAGGACAGAGCCTTCTGAACTCATAAGCACCCAGGGGTCTTGGGCTGTGGGAAATTCTGAAGCAACTAGGAGAAATCAAGGCAGACACCTGATTAATTTGAGCCAGTTTTAACTTGGGGGAGTATTATTCTATAACATATTAATATGATATATTACATTAATATTAATATATACTTGTATATTATATGTGTGTGTGTGTATCCCAAGATGTTTATATGGGTCATAACAATTACAGATAATTGATAGATAGGTGGGTGGGTGGGTAGATGGGTAGATGGATGGATGGAAAGAATGATAGAGAGGGACAGATAGGTAGAGATAAGGAGAGAGAAAGTAAGAAAGAGAGAGAGAGAGAGAGAGAAAGTGAGAGAGAGATTAGACAGATAGATTAGACTTGTGGTTTCTGTTACATCAAGTTTGGCTATTGACATCACATCCTGCTATCTTTATAAGTTCCTCAGGGAAAAGAAATAACTCAAAATAAAGACTGAAAAAGCAAGAAAAAAAGTGAACTTACGAAGCAAGCTGGGTATTATTAACCAGATACTCCAATGGATAACTACAACTAAATTTGTAAAGAAGTCCAGGTAGATAACTGATGATTGTCGGTGGATCTGGAGTATCTATATATCCTGAAATATTTCCTATTTGTACTGAACTTGCATTTCCATATGCACTTACTCCAGGAACTGTAGATACCTGTTAGAATGGTAGAATAAGTATGATTAAATGACTCCATATAAATCTAGGTAATTTATACGCAAAATAAAACATTAGACTAGATCATTTCTAAGGTCTGTTTCAACTATAAAATGCTAAGATTTTGAAATTATACATACAAAATGCTATTTATAAGTGACTACATGTCTTTTAACTAAATATGCTTATTGTATTTACTAAAGTCTCATTACATATTTCAATAAGAAGTAATTTGAAAACATTCATGGATAAAGTCCAAGTTCTGTGGCATGACTTAAAAGACATGTTAATTTGATATTGTTTTTCAATTTAGCTTCATATCTCCAGACTAATAATCTCTCAGTGAATAATGCTTCAATCCCGATACCCTTTTGCCTTGGCCTTTGTGCTTCCTCTCTGCCTTCTCTCTCCCCCACTTCACCATGACAGACCCTACTTTTCCTTCCCACTGTGCAGGAGTAGCTACAGACTCTTCACTTGACAGTCCTTTTAGCCATAACCAGAGCTCTTACAGATTGGAAACCCTCTAGATATCGTTCTTGCATCTTCAGCGTAAGTGATGAGACAAGCATGTTGAGGCCCCAAGACAGTTTTTGAACAAATGAATTAAGGTCACAAATTTTCTAAGGGTTGATCTTTTCCAGGTCCTTCTCTGTGATATATGGAGATTCCCATCCCCTTGCCAGGTAACAGCTCACAAATGGGTATCAGGGAGATCATGAATTCCTAGAAGTTAGGTAAAAATATTGTTGGTGTTTGTGTTTTCCTGAGACTAACTCACTTTCATGCGATCCCCTAAACTCATGTAAGAAACAATAATGAATGACCTTGATCTTCATAATACCATAGAGGGATACTACTTCCACAATATTAAATACCATACAGTGCTCAATAAATATTTTTTAGTAGATTTAATTTTCAACAACAGGATGAACTTTTATGCATAAATCTAGGAGCATGTGCGTAAAGCTGAGGCAATTTTAACTATTTCAGGAACAGAGGAGAATCATTTTGATTCTTATCCAGTGATTTGGTGGTCAACTTAATATTTACCATAAAGGACTATCCTTGGAGTAGAATCCAAATTTGGAGACATCTGAGGCAAAAATGAAAGATGGGTAAATCATCCCCTGCTCTCAGGTTGCCTGAATGGCTAGCTCAACATACCAATTCTGTTTGGAAAAAAAATACAGGGCCTCCCTGGTGGCACAGGGGTTAAGTCTCAGAGCTATCACTTCTATGTCTGTGGAACAAATCCACAAATGGAGAGGACAACAGACCTCTCCTGTCTTGCCCACTCCCCTCAGCAGTATATTTCAGTAGATTTGCCTGTTCTGTTCCCCACACTGTCTCTGGTGAATACGCTTACCCTCTGGCTTACACCTCAGTTCTTCTATGCATAAATAAATACATAAATCTTTAAAAAGCAAGAAATATATATATAGTGCTTTTTATACTATAGTTATTCAACTCTAAAATAGTAAAGATGGGGTGGGCGGGAGTGGGGGAGAGAGAGAGATGCTTTTCTTGAGTTTTTCTTCTGAATTGCTTTCCAGGTAGCAGAGTAAGATGACTGAAACTCAGAGAAGAAAGTTCCATGAAGAACGCCTTTGGGGTGTGGTAGGATGAGGGGAAATGCTTCTCCTTTCCACACAGAATCCCTCCCTCCACGAGGAAACACAGACATGCAATAATCAACCTGCCTCAGTCTCCCTTAGGCCCACTTCATAACCTCTCTGCACACAACTCGGAGAGATGAATAAACGTTTTTAATAAAAAGAGTAAACAATGCCCAAGCTGCATGCTTGGAAATGGTCATGAGCACAATATTCTCTCTGCCCTCTGGGAGAAGATAAGCAAGGATATTCGAAGAAAACTCTTTTAACTGTCACGCATTCCCTACCAAGTCTTAGAAACCCTGCCCTTGAAATAATCAAGCTTTTCCCCTTAATCCCAAACAATAATTCATAATGAGTAAAGGCCAATGTCTCCTTCCTCACTCATCCTCTTCCCTTCTTTTCCCCCTAGATTTTACCAATAATATTACCAAAATGATTTATACAAGCAAAACGAAAAATAGTACTCAATAAATTTCCGTGTAACAAGTACTTCCCCAAATCACAATATTTTAACTTCAATTAATTCTAATTCTCAGGTCAGTCAATTCCTTATTCACTTCTGTTTGGGACATTCAGTGCATAGATAAGTAAATAACAGCACAGACTACTCATTCTCATTCAGGGTACAAATATATGAAGTGTTGTTTTGATTTTCACAACGACTGAAGAGAGTGTGCTGAGATTTCTTGGGTAAGATTAGGTGTGATAAACCTTTTGAAATTCAAAGGACAGTCCCACACAGAGAACAATTTCACCAGAAATGCTGACAGCCCTTTTACAAAACACTGGAAGGATCACTCAACGGCAAAAAAGAAACCTAGAAGCTTCTAAGTTTCATATTCTACATAACGTTGTTTGTTTCTTTCTTTGTTTTGAAAGAAGTCACTAAGAGGCAACAGACCAAGCAATTCATTGCCAAAATCACTGGGAAAAATTTGGTAGAATAAGATACACCCATAAAGCATGAAGATACAGCTTATGACAAACAGTAGAGAAATATTCATCAGTGTCACCCCACACACTAATGGTGCTTAGAGAAACACAGCCAATCTCAGGCCCCTCTTCATCCTAGCTACAATAAACAGAACCATTATTAGAAACTAAAATTGTATGTTTCAGAGCAGAAGCCTCAGAAAGGCAAAGGAAAGTGATTTGTTCAGTTTTATTGGATATTTTTTCTTGAAAGATAGATTGGGCTTCTGATTATGTCACAAAATGGGAATTTTTTTTAGTTACGACCCCAAACCTAGCACACAATTTCACACTAATCTTACCACTAAGTTGTTTCCACAGCCCTCCAAGGTGCTGAGATTGATGATGAAAATGACCACTGCGGGAAAGGTGTTGTTATTGATGAAGCCCCTGCAGTGGGAATCCCCATGCCTTCCGTTCAGCGCCAGATCTGTTTCAGAATAACCGGAGAAAAGTACTGTGCAAAAATTAATCTTCATTGTAATGGCCTGCACCCCACAGTAGACGTTGATGTCTCTTTCAGCTGAAATAAAAATGAATAAAAAGCAAACACAGGTCACAAAAGCACACCAGTGGGTACAAGAATAGCATTAGCATCCCCTGATGCATTTACTGATCTCCTCATTAATCTGTTTAACTTACCCCTATATTTAAATACTCCATAATCCAATGTGCAAGTCATTAAGAAAAGCTTAAGGAAATAGAGTCTTTCATCTAGTTAGTTGGGGAGAGATATTCGAGTGTGGAGATTATGGTTCATATTTGTTTTCTTGTGCCTAGTACAGTGGATGAGCATTCAGTGTCAGTCAAGTATCGTCAAATGATTGGAGAATTGAGTGGAAAAAATCAGGTTACTGAGAAAATTCTGCACTAGAGTAACTAAATTATTCAGATCACCTGTCGAAAGTAGTAAAACTCACTACAAATGATGCATTTGTAAAGAAGATAAAACAGCAGCAGTAAAACCCACCCTAAGTCATATTGTTGAGTCCTTTGGTATTTTGTAACCCATTTCATCCAGGATGTTGAAACAAAAGCCATCCATCAGACTTCCATTTTATTTTGTCTATTTTAAATCACAAGAGAGAAAGAAATGAAAAAGAATATGCTGATAATACAAACAAAAAAGTGTAGTCTACTCTAAGAAAACATTGCCAATGACTATGTCTCAGGAAAAGGAATGGACTAAGCATGGAAATGTAAAAAAGTTTGCTCAGTTTTCCATAATTTCATGAGTTATCAGTGAAAGGAATTCATCCTAGGTCTGTGGAGGTGAGTGCACACGCACACATACTAGCTTTCTCGTATCTCTGTGTAGTTATTTTCCTATCTAATAAATATAGAAAATGGAGAATTTGATGGTTAGGTAATGAACCAGTGGCAGTGAAACTTTCATTTTTATTGGTTTTGGTAATGATTATAAAGTTGAATTATGCCCCTCCCTACCACAGAGAAAAGTTATATTGAGTCCTAACCTCCAATACCTTAGAAGGTAACTTATATGAAATTGGTGTCATTACAGATACAGATCTCTAAATCAATATGACTGGTGTCTGTATAAAAGAAAGGCATGCGAAGAAGCGGAGACACAGGCCATGTAAAGACAGAAAGTTGCAGTGATAACTGCAGCAAGGAATGTCAAAGATTGCCAGCAAGACACCAGCAGTTAGAAAGACACAAGGGGGCCTCCCCTGGTGGCACAGTAGTTGAGCGCTGGGCTGCGAAGCTGCCCGCAGCCTCTGCAGCGCAAGTTCGATCCCCGGCTGCTGGCAAGGATCCCACATGGTACGACAGACCTCTCCTGCTGTGCCTGCTGCTCCCCTCAGCAATGTATTTCGTCAGTCTGCATGTTCTGTTCCTGGCTCTGGCTCTGGTGAATTCTCTCTCACTCTCCTGCGCTTCTGACTGTACCCAGTGCTTGTATAAATAAATAAATAAATCTTTAAAAAAAAAAAAAGAGAGAGAGACAAGGAAGGATTCTACACAGTCTCAGAGGGAGTCTAGTACTGTTGACACCTTACTTAGTTTTAAATTACACTGTGGTACTTTACGATGTCAGACTTGAGAGATTAATACAGCAACCTTACCAAGTTTCAGCATTCTGACTTACACTTAAAGAATCTGAAATATGCACTGTTTTTTCAAATTATAGAAACAAAATCTGGTTAAGCTATTTGGAGAATTGACCTTGACTGTTCAAAAAAAGAAAATAAGCAAAATGAAAGATATTTTTGGTAAATGATAGCATGTTCACCTGAATGTCACTTAAGATTTTTCCAGCACAGAATTAATTTGCTTAAATATCAAAGATAATTTAAGGGCAGTAATACTTAAGAGCCTATCTTTTTGGAGTGTCTCTCTGTCTCCTTGTCTCTGTGTCTCTCTCTCTCTCCATCTATAGATATATTTAATATATATTCATTTTTTTTGCTGACGTGGAAGTCATATTTTGAGAATGTGAATAAGTCAATATGGGAAATTCTATGTTGGGCTACAATTTTATATTCTTTACAAAAAAATGGGAAATATTTTTTCCCCTTGACCCAAGATAGGTACTCTTTCTCATCACCAAAAGGCAAATATTAGTCTATTATAGAAAACTCCATACAATAGTCCTTTTGTTAGTGGAAATTTTAAATGAACTTTTTATAGTACATTTTGTCAACACAGAAAAAAATTAATACCACTTAAATTGGGGAATTGTCTCTACTGACCTTCATCAATGCTAAAAGTAATTATATCTTTTAATGATGCTCTTTACTAAAATAATTTCATTTCTACAAATGGTTATTGAATGCTTATCAATTTCAAAATACTTCTAAATCTCCATCTACATGCTATTCCTTTGCTTATGTTATCATTTTTCCCTAGATTATTACATTAACTTTCTAATTTCTTTATTTCTACTTTAATCCCCTCTAATGAATACAACTGTTAAGACATTAGTCCAAACATATCACTTCTATACTCAGATCTTTAACTGCTACATTTTATCAAGCCACAGTCCAAATCTTGAACCAAGTCATTAAGACTTGCATGATCTCCATCTGCTTACCTCTGCATTCTCATCTCTGTCCTCTCTCCCCTTTGCTCCCTACATTTGTTTCACTGAACTTTATGGTCTTTAAAAGCATCACACTGAGTAACAAAGGCAAAATAGTGGTTACCTCCCAGGTGGAATTGTCTAGAAAAAGGGAAAAAAGAAAATCTAGAAAATCTGGAGAATAATAAAAATGTTATATCTTGATCTGAACAGATCAAGCATGGTGCATGCATGGTAAATGCATGGTGACAACATGTATGTACACATATTGTCAAATCTCACTTGAAACCTTAAAATTGGTGCATTTTTTCTATGTAAATTAGTCTCAATAATGTACTGTGAACATTTAAAAATACCTAGTATAGTTTATACACAAAGCCTTGAATCAGTGCTCTTTTTTCTGTCTGGAATGCTCCTCCTAACCCACTCTTTGTTTAAGTAACCACAACTGACACTTTAGGTCCCAAATGCCATTCCTTTTCCCAAAGACTCCCCTAATCCCTAATCTAAATTATCTGCTTCAAGATGTTGTATGCCTTAGGATCATATATGAATTTAAACATTTGTCTTCACAATAAACTGATGGTCCCTCAAATCAGAAAGCTGTTATAATAATCATCTATGCACTCTATTTAGTATTTAATTACTTAATTAATCACATAAAGTGCAGGAACAACAGACTGCACTGATGAGTCACAAAGAGTGGTCTTTGTTCTCAAGGAGATGAAAATCTATAAGGGGTCAGCCCACACTGACAGAAACATTAGGTAGAGGACTAAGGGGTGGCATAGAAAGTTGGCTTCACCAACATGAGTTGGTTGGGAACCACTTCCTGGAAGAGGTGGTATTGAACTGAATTTTAAAGTATTAGTAGGAGCTTGCTACATAAAGTAGCAGAAAATTTATAACAAAGGTGAAATGTGAATAATGATACAAATATAAAAAGCCAGTTGGGAGCCTCCCTGGTGGTGCAGGCAGTTGAGTGCCACACTGTGAAGCTATCCGCAGCCTCTGCAGTGCAGGTTCAATCCCGGCCGGCTGGCAAGGGTCCCACATGGTGAAGCAGACCTCTCCTGTACCACCCGCTGCTCCCCTCAGCAGTGTATTTCATCAGTCTGCCTGTTCTGCTCCTCACTCTGCCTGTGGTGAATATTCTCACCCTCCCGCGCATCTGGCCTGTACCCTGGTTCTTGTATAAAAATAAATAAATCTTTTTAAAATTTTTTTAAAAATTAAAAAAAAATAAAAAGCTGGTTGGAAACTGGACAGTTCAGATTCTGTTAGTATTTAAATGTAAAGGGGGAAATGGCCAGGAATGAGGCCAAGTGGCAAGCACACAAGCAAGATGATAGGAAACATTTACCTATAAAATAGTCTCTGTAAGGTAATAAAATGCCTATCCGAATGTCAAATCAAGTTTTCAGCTACAGAGTTCACCAAGAACTCATTATACCAATGAAATGGAGAACGAGTATCATTGCATTACCTGGCATATCATAAATGTATCAAAGTAAATATATATTTATAAATGTTACAAAAGAGAGGCATCATTCTCTTTAATTAAAACCAAAGCCTATAGCATCTTAACCTTTGTTTTAGAGGAATTCATTGATGTTTAGAAAAGCATAACAAATGGCAAAGATTATTTTGTCCAGATTTCTATATTCTGCTTTATAACTGAAATTTGTAACCCCTCCAATGGAACTGAATTTTCTACACAGTGATCCCACTTGGAGATATGATAACAAACTAAAGGCTTTCTGCAGGGTAAGAAGAGATCTGCTCAAATCCAACCTAACTCAGTTTTCTAAAGACTTTTCACTGTCCCTTCTGACAAACACATTTTTCCCCAGTTGTAGAAACTAAAGACATCCATTCAGCATAACTTTTTCATTTGTGAGGCTTTGAGAGAAAAAAATGATACTTCAAGTTGCCAAAGGGCAATTTCTGCCAAAAGTAGAGAACTTTTTTCAGAGTTACCAATAACAGTTGCTCTCAGAAACTAAATTTTTTAAACCTTTAATTGCCCAATTTCTGGCCTGAATTGTGGCATCCCTTTAAGTGACCACAAAATCAAGAAATAAATATCATTAGATGTTTGATTATCAGTATTTTGTTTTTAAAGTTATTCAGAGTGTTTAAAATGACAGGTCTATTCACAGATTTTAGGTAAGTTATAGTGCCAAATGGCTATTTCCCCTGATATTATTTTTTAAGATTTATTTATTTATGCATACAAGAACTGGGGTATAGGCCAGAGGTGTGGAGGGTGAGAGAATTCACCAGAGACAGAGTGGGGAACAGAACAAGCAGAATGACCAAAATACACTGCTGAGAGGAGCAGTGGGTGAATCAGGAAAGGTCTGCTGGGCCATGTGGGTCACCTCCCTGGCCGGGGATCAAACACGTGCTACAGTGGCTACGGATAGCTTCACAGTGCTGTGTTTTAACCCCTTGTGCCACCAGGGAGGCCCTTTTTC